AAATGCAGAATTGTGGAACCCAGTCCTAATGGATACATCTGTAATATAACTCCTGTACCCCAAAGCTTTAAGATCTTTGGAAGGGGAGGTGGAAAGATTATAAGAGCCATAGGATTGGGGAGTTTGCTGTGAGACTGTCTCCTAGGAATGTCAGAAGCTACACTCACTCATGAAGTCTCACCAACAAGACTGCCTAAACATGAGATGAACAAGGTGTTTTCCTAAAAAACATATATACAAGTAACTATAAATGGAGAAATGAGGGTGTATATATATATATATATATATATATATATATATATATATATATTTAGGGACACACACACACAACACACACAGACACATACCAGCAAAAAAGAAAAAAGAAGGCCTGAGTTTGAAAGAAAGCAAGTGGTGGGTAACATGGGAGGATTTAGAGGGAGAAAGGGTGGGAGAGAGGGACGGAGGGGAGAAAGAATGTAATTATATTATAATGTAAAGAAACATCCAAACAAAAATGAAACAGATGGACTTATTTTCAAAGTAAAAAATAAAAGGATAGCAAGTCATAGGAAATAGGAAAGACTGTAAGATATATTAAACAAAACACAGGAAATTCTAGAGGGAAAGCCATCCAATTAGTGTAACAACATTACAAAAAATTAAAAGAGAAAGCAGAGAAGATAAAGGTAACCTATAATATAAATTAAAAGACTTAAATCCACAAATTACAACATGCAGATCAGATATGATTAAAATTAACTCTAAGGGGAATAAAACAGGAGAGAGTCTGTGAAATTTGACTGAATATTTAACAATAAACAGTTATTGGAAAGTTGTTTGGGTATGATAATGATAATATTTTTTAAAAAAAATTTACCTTTCAAAAAAGTTTTAGAGTAAAACATAAATTGTATTGTGAATGAAATGAAATGTTTATGTTCTGCTTCAAAATAATGGAAGAAGCATGGAGTTATAGGTAAGAAAGGATGAGTTTGGAGTTCTAAGATCTATGGCAACCAACATTGTTAAAACTGGCTTACAGAACACTGGAATCCATTACAACATTCTACCCATAATAAAAATCTACAAGAAAGAATTAACCATTATTCCTACAGTTAAATATCCTTTTTCTATTCAAGAAAAATAAGGTGGTGCACGCCTTTAATCCCAGCACTTGGGAGACAGAGGCAGGTGGATCTCTGTGAGCTCAAAGCCAGCCTGGTCTACAGGGTGAGTGCCAGGACAACCCCCAAAGCTACACAGAAAAACCCTGTCTCGGAAAAAAAAAAAAACCACAAAAACCAAAACCAAAAACAATGCTTAACATTCCCTATGCCAATGTTTCTTTTCATACATCTTCTCTCCCAACAGCAGACATACTTTTCTAACACAGTGGTCTTCCTATGCCCATGATTTGATCTCCATAGTGTGCTAAACATGGTCAACTACAATCTAAAAAAAATACTAAATGGAAAATTCCAGGAACAACTATTGCATTAAATTTCAAACTGTATGCCATCCTGAATAGCTTGGCAACATCTTATACAATCCTGCTCTATTGGCTTATAAGAATCATCCCTTTGTCCAGCTTATCTCTGTTGCATGTTACCTGCATCTTAGTCACTCCGTAGTACTCTCAGTTCTCAGATCAGCTATCATGACATCACAAAGCTTGTGTTACATATCCCTAATTTTGCTTGACAGTAGTCCAAAAGCTTAAGAATGGTGATGCTGGCAACTGGAACATGCCAAAGGGAAAATTTTATAAAAGCCCTTCTTTTGAACAAAAATGTAGAAGTTCGTAACTTAATGAAAGAAAGAAAAAAAATGTATGGTAACTATGACTCCTCTGTGAAATTATATCTAGAGGGAAAATACAAAATATATGCATTGATATAGCCTTTCATACTTATGTACTAGTTCAAGTTCACTAGTTATATTTGTTTATAGACCACAAAATTTCATCATCTAGTATTAGAATTTTGAGAGACAACTCCAATGGCTGAGACTTCTACAAAATTACTCAGCTTATTACAATTGTCTTTTAATGTGTCTCTCTAGTTTAAAATAAGTACAACTCCATGTTTTCATGTCAATCTGTATTTTAATATCATTCCTTTTTTTTCTCAGCGTTCTCAGACTCTACAGTTCTATTTCCTTTGCATGCCCCAACACTTACACAATTTTAATGAATGATGGCTGGGAAGGCAGCTCAATGGGTAATGACTCTGAAGACTGTGTTAGATACCCAAGATTCACAGGTAGAGGGAGAGAACTAACTCTACCAAGTTGTCCTCTGGCCTCCATAAGTGTGGCATTATATTCACATGCCCAAACTTATACACACACATGCATGCAAGTGCACATACAAATAAAAAACTAAAAATGTAATTTTTAATAAAAATTTACAAATAAATATTCTCCTCTCATACCTTTTTAAATTACAACCTGTCTTTATCTACCCTCTTATAAACACCTTCTCTCCAACTGAGTTCCCTCACCATCCAAAAGGAGAGAGGCAGCCCTGTCTCCACACTGTACTCCTCCAGCGCTACATCATATCCATCACCTACCATTGAGCTACTTCCTCTTTAGGACCATATCATTAGCAACTTCTCCTCAGGGCCTCCTTTCCCAGGTTCAAGCTCTTTCATAAAGTCAGTGCCTACCTTATGTTTTCACAAATTATATAAACTGCCATTAGTTTCACCATCTCTGCAGATCCTGAAACCAGCAGAGACCTGTTACAAAATAAAAATGAACTTTCTCTTTATGATGGTAAGTCTAAAACAACAGTAAGGCACTAAGCACCAAATGGTAATACTCAGCAAGAAATACACAGGAAACTGACAACAAGCAGTTAAAGAGAGGATCATTGGGTTTCTGTCACTTTAGACTACCAAATATCACCAAAATATGGAATCCTTCAAAGTGAGTCCACAAGTTCATATTATTTTAATTTTGACTGAACACTACTTCTAAGCAATCTTTTTTATTCTTTCCTTGCTGATGGGTTAGCTTAATGAATTCCATTCTCCGAGAGAGTTACACAATTAATTACTTGGTACTTGGGTACCAAGTCACAAAGTATATAAAGACTATCTCCCACATATGTGTATTAACCAGTGTACAGTGTTGTGATTAGAAAACAGTCTTGTAAGAGAATATTAGCAGCTTTTTACTGATACATATTCTCTCAATTACCAGATACTAAAAATATAACTATAGTCCTAGTGGGATCCATCAACTGCCTTAAAGGGATGGTATCTTCCAAAAATCAAGACTTACTACCAGGAAGCATTCCCTACATCATTTGTTTCCACAGTTTCCATTTCTCTCTTCCCAATTCACTTGTATTGTCCCAAGAAAATCATATACCAGCTTACACTGTTCCCCCATTCTTCAATCCACCAGAATGCATACCTTTTTTCTTTACCTCTATAAATATTAGAAGATTTTAGTAACATACAGCAGCCAATCTCATCTTACAAAACCTCCCTGATCTAGCAAACAGGGTTAGTTTCAAAGTTTCTTCCCTTCTGCCTAAAAACATTATTATTTCTCCCTTATTTACATAGAACTTCATTTGATTCTGTTGTTTAGCTACTATCCTTCCTTTTTATTATTATTGCTGTCAAATTCTGAGGCTTATCAAACTACTGGCCACCTGTCTTCTAAGTAAGATCCTATGGGAAAAGCCACCCCCACATCTTTTTTTTTTTTTAAAGACAGGGTCTCATGTATTTGAGGCTAGCCTCAAACTGTGGCTGAACATCCTGACCTTCCTGCTCTACCTTCCAAGTATCAGGACTACAGGTGTATATTACCACAACTATGGTATTGGTGATCAAATCCAGGCCTTGATACATGCTAGACTAGAACTCTAACAAATGAGCTAGATCCTCAGCCCTTATTTCTTCAAGTACTATACAAGCCAACTTCCCAACAAAAGGTTGAATAGTCAAGAAATTTTATAGCCTGGAAGCATGTAATCTTGTCTACCTGATTCCTTAAAAAAAAAGAAAAAAAAGTTTGCCACTTCTTGAGGATCCAAGCATGATCTATACTGAATGTCATCATTTTTTCAGAAAACAGTAGGGAGGCACCAAAGATCTTGTAATATCATCGAAGTACCCTGAGTCACAGGACATCTCAAGAATACTAATGTGCAGGGCAGATTAAAAGAAGACCATTTAGGAATCAAGTGTAGAAGACATCAAAGGGCAAAGGAAGGGAAATGAAGGGAACTTTTAAGGAGAATACTCAGGCAACTACACTGAGGGAACAAAACACCAAAACTTTCACCTTTCAGAACATGGTGCTTGAAATTTGCATTTTCTCCTACAATCTACTACCATACCTCCTTTCTTACTAGATCTGGAGTTTCTGAAATACTAATCCCAGTTCTAGGCATTCTAGGAGCTTGTTATCTGGCTAACTCCTGGATAAGCAAACCACCTAAGAAGCATTTCCAACAGAGTTGGCCAAATAAGAGCACAAAGCCAAGTTGATGGAGTACTCACCTGTGTCAACAAACAGACAAAAGAACTAAGATTTTGCCCGGCATTGGTGGCACATGCCTTTAATCCCAGCACTCGGGAGGCAGAGGCAGGCGGATCTCTGTGAGTTCGAGGCCAGCCTGGTCTCCAGAGCAAGTACCAGGATAGGCTCCAAAGATACACAGAGAAACCCCGTCTCAAAAAAACAAAAAAAAATAAATAAATAAAAACAAAAAAATAAGAACTAAGATTTTGGTCCAGAGTGACTCTCGAGGCAATCATGAAGGAATGCTATGAATCTGCTTACTGTTGAAGCAGTTTCCTTGATACTCTAATATGTTCTTTATCATGTTCAGAGAAAGCACCACTAGAATAGCTTCTTGTAGGAAAGTCTCATGAGAACCAAGATCAAAAAGTGAGAAATGAAATGGATCAGACCCTATTGGTCTTTTATCTAGGAAAAGCAGTCCTCCTTAAATAAAGATGGTAGCACTTTTCAAAGTAGTCAATGACACTTACCTTCAGCATCAGTGTTTTCACATCCCACAAGGTTGAGAAGGATGTCATTGTCTTTATCATCTCCCTCACATCCCAGTAGCATCCAGCTTTCCACATTTTCATTCTCTGAAATGGTACTTTCTTCCTCCTCATTTGAACTGACCTCTATGACCATGACCTCTTGGATTACCCTTGACGTCTCTTCAGGTTCAGGCTTCTCATTATCCCTCTTGCGTTTCTTAGCCAATTTATTAGGATGAGGAGAAGCAGGACTTTGGTTCTTTTCTTGTGCTTGAACTTTAATATTTTTTCTTTTACATCTATAAATACTATCTTCATCAGATAATGTGATGACCTCTGATGTATCTGATAGCTGGATGACCTCACTATCTGAAAGAACGATTAAGTTCTTCTGGCTTGGTTCAATACCTGCTGTTTCAGAATTCTCACAGTTCTTTTCCTCATACCTTTCTTCCTTGTTGGCACTATGCAAATTCTGGGCATAATGAACTTGGCTGTAGAGCTGAAATTCCACCTCACTATCAACACTCAGTTCACTAGATGAATCTTCACGGTAAAGATCATCTTCATATGCTTCTATAGTCTCATAGCCACCAAACATTATGGAAAGTCAGTCACTTTAATGCTGTAAGAAAGTTAGACCAGAAGTATTTTAAAAGCTAAGATCTTGTTTAGTTAGTGCCTATCACCCCAAGCTGACTCTGAAGACTACCATTTCCCCCCCAACATATTAAAATGTTTTTTTTCCTAATACTGCTTTTCCAATAATTTATAAGCCCTATTATCATCCTCTAGAGTAGTGGTTCTCAACCTTCCTAATCCTGCAACCCTTTAATATAGTTCTTCATGTTGTGGTGACCCCCCCAAACATTATATTATGTCACTGCTACTTCATAACAGTAATTTTGCTACTGTTATGAATCATATTGTAAATATCTGATATGCAGGATACCTGATATGTGACCCCTGTAAAAGAGTCATTCTACCCCCAAAGGAGTCACAACCCACAAGATGAGAACCTCTGTACTAGAATGACACTCAGCCCTCTCAAATAAGAATTACCACCAACAAACTGACTGTATCAAAGCAGGTATCCTAAAGGTACACTGGAAAAGAAATTAGTTTGAGATCCACTGCTAGACAGTGAATATTTGTCCTCTAAAATGTTAAGACTCCTAAAAAGTATCTCTCCCTATTCCATTCACCTTGGCATAAACTCTTCATTCTTCTCTTTTTCATTCATCTATTTATTTATTTGTTTGTTTATTTATTTATTTGGTTTTTCGAGACAGGGTTTCTCTGTGTAGCTTTGGAGCCTATCCTGGCACTTGCTCTGGAGATCCGCCTGCCTCTGCCTCCCAAGTGCTGGGATTAAAGGCATGTGCCAGCAACGCCCGGTCCTTTTATTTATTTATTTATTTTTTAATGGTGTCTTGTTACACAGAAACCAGGCTGACTGTGAACTTAAAGTGATCCTCCTACCTCAACCACCTGAGTGCTGGAACTAAAGTGTGCCAAGTTGCCTAGCTCTACTTTTTTTTTTGAGACAGGGTTTCTCTGTGTAGCACTGGTTATCCTGGAACTCACTCACTCTGTAGACCAGGCTGGCCTCAAACTCAAGAGATCTACCTGCCTTTGATTCCTGAGTACTGGGATTAAAGATGTATGCTACCACTACCTGGCAGCTTTTTTTTTTTAAAGAAGAAAAGAGAAATTTATTTATGCTGCAAAGAGAACAACAGGCATAGCAGTAACAGAAGAGCCACCTGCCTTCACTCCACCTGCCTTTCAATTCTATATCACTTCTTTTCAGGTATACCTTCTCATACAAGAATATTACTACAGTATTACTAAACTTCACAACAAGAAATCCCTTTCACATTTACTGACTGTATTTATTCTCAATTTAAAAACAGATGAGAATGTAGCTCAGAAGTAAATTGCAAGCTTAGTATGTGCAATAACCCTGAGTTTGATTCCCCAATCCTGAGTACTATTACTCCTAATAATGATATTATCAATCCTATGGACTTCAGATCTCTGGCCAAAAGAATGCATAAAAAACTTTGATAATATACTTATTCCTGTGTTGGTTATAAAATGCATTTGAGCTGGGAGGTGGCAGCAGCAGCAGCAGCAACAGCAATGGAGCACACCTTCAATCCCAGAGCTCAGGAGGCAGAAGCAGGCAATCTCTGTGAGTTCGAGGCCAGTCTGGTCTATAGAGCAAGTTCCAGGACAGGCTCCAAAGCTACAGAGAAACCGTCTGGAAAAACAAAGCAATAAAAAAATTAAAAAATAAAAAAAAAGCATTTAAAACAAAATTTCCTAAGTACCTAAAATTGAGACCAAAAAAACAAAAA